GGGGGGGGGGGGGCGGAAATAACCACACACACCTCCCAGAACTAGGAGGTATGTGTTCCCTGGCAACTCCATCACTGCAGTTTCAAGTTTTAGTTCACATTATGAGATTTTTAGAGACCTATCCTGAAGCACTTCAGTTAACTTAACCCCTGCAGCATCAGGGCATATGTGAACATGGTCCTCTGTCTTGCAGTTCAATAATAGAGAATCGCAAACCCAGTATAGTACATCAAATATTTCTCATCCCAGCTATTAAAGCTAGCATCTTCAAGAGCAGAAGCAGTAGCCTGAACAGAGCTTATCTGCTAGTAAAATGGCTGTGAAGTAGCAGAGCTCTAAACAAAGCTTGCCTGAATTATAGGCAGTGGCAACAGGGGATAGGCAATGTGATGCTAGCCATAGATTGTGACTTCTGTAGGAGGCCCAGTCGTCTTCTAGATGCCTCAGCATGGAAGGCTAGAATAAAAGGATGTCACAGTACTTCAGTGGAAGGCCAATACATTTAAGATATCTACCTGTACCAAGACCACAGTTAGAGTGCCCTGGATGTTCATATGAAGGGAGTTTCTCCACTGCCACCATTAGCAAAACACTAGCCAGAGGTACAAGTGGATTAAGTTCCAGGCCTGTCTCAAACCTTAGGTCAAACCCTTCAGGCTCTGCATTTCAGAAGGTTGGCAAGGCCAGAATTGTCTGGTGCTTGTTCTGTGGGTCAGGCACTTCCTGGTTTGTACTGAACTTACTTTAGATTTCAGGATTCTTTTGTTGATGTGTAGCTTTATTCCCTTTTTGGTGTCTAGAGCAATTCTATTTGCTTGAAGTCGGTCCCTTGGAACATTTTGGTCCTCTACACCAACAGCAGTGAGTGTCCCTGGGAAAGCTGGGATGGTAATTGTCATGTGTGTTGAGTTACAAGTGACAGGACCTTAAAAAAAAAAAAAGAAAAAACAAAACCACACAAGGAAAGTTGTGTTATATGCCCAAGTTCTTATGATCCTTGGACAGCAAGTTCCCATTTCAGAGGACAGGTCCAGTTTCCTCCATTTTGTAGCCTGGTTTTACCTGGGGCACAGATCATTCTTGATTCCACAGTCAGTCGCCGTTGCGGAGGGCCATATGCAAGCTTGACAGCCACAGTGTAGACTACCTGGTCATCTTGCTGCATAGGACAGATCACTATTAGCAGACTGTTAAACTAAATAGCCCAAGCATCTAGCACAAGCTTGTGCACATGTAGTCAGTTCCATTAAAGACTGCCATGGCCTATATTGTCCCGGGAGGGGAGTGACCAAGTAGCTTAGAAACTAGTTAATTTTTTGTTGCTTTTGGGAAGATGCAGCCACTAGACTATTAATATGCTGCCAGTCTGCTCCTACTGCTATTTGGACAAGTTCTCTATTAGAGAGAAGACATTTCAGTTGATGCTTACACCACTTAGAGCAAAAAAGTTAAAAATTTCTTCAAGCATGTTCAGGTAAAGCCCCTTAGCCTTAGGACTATCCCTAGCTATTGGATTCATAGGTCTTCCCCATTTACACAGACTACAGGTGAACTGCATTTGGCAGCTTGCTCCTATTACAAGATCATGGCACTACGACAGTCGCTATTCGGGTCTCTGCTCTGTCCAGATCTATATCTGGACCCCATCATTTAGTGTATGGGGCATATTGGTCTCTAGACCTCATTCTTCCCCTGAATTATGTCCTTTCTGTGCATTTACCTTGTAGGAGAGAACACCTGTTGCACCAAATGACACCTGGAAGATTAGGTCATGACCATCTGTGATGAAGGTATACCCTTGCTGCATGGCTTGCCCCAGGCTTAGCCTGTGTGTCCTTGTTCCCTCATCTATGGATAGAGTCCAGGCCACTGGAGATTCTGCAGTCTGCAAGTTTGACAGTCCCAATTAGAAATACAAGGTTGTTTTGTTTTTAAAGGGAGAGAGGGGGCAGGGAAAGATATTGGAGTACTTAGTTGTGCTAGGGTTGTCAGGTAGTAGCTTAAAAACTCCCTAGCCATCTAGGGCTAAGGATGTAGACTCATTTTACTTCCTTAATGAAGTGTTGAATGGCAAACTACTTCATAGATGCCCCTTAAAGATCTAGAGGGCTTATACAGTTTAAGTATTCAACCTCCATGTGGATAGACTGCAATTGCCTACCATGTATTCATCATGAAAGCTGGGAATGAGCCTTGGAAATGCAACCTGAAATAGAAGAGCAACAGCTGAATGCACATCTGGTTTAAGCTATAAGTATGCCAAGATAGGGGTGGGCAAAGAGTGTAGCCTGGAGGCTGGATGCACCCCATAAGGCCCCCCACCTCCAAAAATTAGAGAAGTTAATATTTATCTGCTCTGGGCTGCCTGTCATGTGGCCCTCAACAGCTTGCCAAAAACTCAGTAAGCAGCCTTCTGCACAAAATAAATTGCCTGCTCCCACTACAAGAACTTGCTTTGCATTCTGCCATTTGCAAGCTATTGGGTACCTCTAGCAATAAGGTAGAAGGTACTAGGTTACAGCAATAATGAGCACAAGGCTAACTATTGAAGTCTGTCATGCTAATAGCTAGGCAGGCTTAGAGAGAGACACAGAGTGCCATTTTCCCTGGCAGTGTTACTGAAGCACCCAGGTGTCCAGAAGTTCCTCATGTCAAGCCATAGCCAACACCAGGATAGCTATTACATTGAGCTACACAAGCTAAGAAAGCCATTCAAACTCCAGTTTGTAGCTTCCCCAGAAAGCAGAAACAAGGAATCCATTACCTAGTCTCCTAGCAAGATTCCTTGCCTTATTCCCAAAAGGCAAGCCATTTAATAAAAGCCACCAGCAGCCACACTAGATGGATCTGAAGTACTGCATAGCCAGTTTTCCAGCCAGGAAAGAGGAAGAGACCACTCTACTTACTGCCATAAAGTCTTTAGTACAGTTTGTAGCTCCAGTAAAGAAAGGAGGGACGATATCGTCAGCTTGAATAACATCACAGCCAATGCTATAGGTCACATTGTCCTCCTCAGCATCAGTCCAGTTGATCATCAGCTTCAGTTTATGCTGCTCATGCTACAGGCAATGAATTGCATCATTAGATTTTAACAACTAGTGTGCTCCCACACTGAGCAGGTGCCCATGGTGAACATGCACATTACTGAACCTAGTAGTGGTCTATAGCAGATGCAAGAGTAGTTTCAACAATTGCTGCACTTGCTTTCCATGTGTAGGGGAGAAGGGCAGAAAGGATTGTCCAGTAGTTCCCTTAAAGCCATAGCAGTTTCTTATTGGTAGTTAATTTTGCTTTAGTTACAGGTGTCCTTGTTAGCTTGATAGGGGAGCACATGATATACCATAGTACTGTTCCTAGCTCTTCCAGTTAATCTTGGATTAATTTTAGGTCACTACTTTGCCCTATTCAGTAGCGAGGGTACAAGTCACCAGCATAAGAGAAGTTACATAGGATGTGCAGTTGGAATCTTGTATTAGGAGGAGCAAGAGTGCATCTACTTTAAGCAAAAAGTATCCTCAGCACTAAGATCCTCAGAGAGGCCATATTAAGGTACTCATTTCCAAGTTAAAGGGATTATTTTACCTCCAGTTGAGTGCAGTTCACATATGGGGTAGTCAACACTAGTGTCTCATTATCCATCACATAGGCACAGTCTACAATTTCTTTGCCACTTGAATCTAGAAGGCAAGGAGAAGCCAGTCAGGTGCACAGTTTATTCCCTAGCTATTTCCTTAGGAATTCCAGCAACTTTACAACAATACTTACCAACTACATGAACTTGCCAGGAGTTGTTCCTAAACTCTCTAGGAAATTCAGTAAGCATCTTGTCAGGGTGGCAAGACACAGTCCCTACAGAGAGGGAAGCTTAGGTCAGTCTTATCTGAACTCACAGACCACAACAGCTGACCTGTGTTAAGCTGTTTTACAGCTCCATACCCTTCCTCTGGTGTGGGGAGAGCTTCAGCATTTCTACCCATGCCCTGGGTTTTCTGGGCAGCTTTTGGAAGAGGAGCTACCCCCAGCTTAGGAGACAGGGACATTACCTGGGAAGTCTAGACCCCCAGGATCATGAGCACCAAGTGTTGGAGACACCATGAGACAAACAAACAAAAGTAGCAACCTGTAAAACAAACAGCCCAACAACAAAACTCAGAGACCCCTATGCAAAAACTTCCAACCTCCCCCATACACCCTAAAAACCACTTCAAACAGCCGCTCACCGCATGCTGTAGGAACACCACCTCCACCACACTAAAGGCAACATCCCAACTGACTTAAAATCACACCACACCAACCCAACATACTTTCATCCCCTTGCAGGGGTTTATATAGTAGGTGATTAAGCCCCAGCACAGGTGAGGCTCCTGGAAATCACCTGGTGTGCTTCCCTCTCATTTGCTGACAAGTGATTAAAGCACCTGAGGCTGATGGCTTGCACCTGGGCCTGCTTTAGACTCCAGTCAGTCAGGAGTTGGAGGAGAAAACAGCCTTTCTGCAAGGTGACTTGGCAGAGTTTGCCATTTCCCTCCTTTTTATGAGTAGCTTGTAATCTGGTTTCTCTTGCACACGAATGTCCTACTATGTGTGTTCCCTTGCAGGCAGATGGTGCAAAATCACTGATGAATTAGAACTACAGGGGAACTTTGTATTATACTTTCTGGATATCCTAGTACTTTCACCCTTAAACATTTTGACTAGCATTTTCACCCTTTAAGTCTCTGCCTTGCTTTGTTCTTCTAACTACTTAAAATGAGCTTGTCTTTGGGCTTTGCATAGTGTTTCTTTACTGGGAACTATTTCAAGCAGCTCCTGTTTGGTTAATCTACGCAAGATATTTCTATTCAGGAGGAAAAGTCTGTCCAGTTTGAACCTGTAAGTGAATATCGCCAACTCTTTGGGAAGAAGATGAATGTTAGGATTGTTTATTAATTGTATCACAGCACTACATAGAAACACACTGTTAAACCCCTTGGTTTGGAGACTGAAGACATGAAACTCCAAGATGTCAAGGGCTAAATATCGAAAGGATCTAAGCACTTAAATTGCCAGGTAAGTACCCTATTTAACTCCAAAATTTTGCTCCTCAAAATCTTTATTCATCTCCCACCTCACCCTAAAGTACCTAAAGTTCCTCAGTGTCTTTGTTTTGCCAGTAAAGTTCCCTAAGCACTTAAATATATGCTGCTGGCCATGTGCAAAACTGCCAAAACAAGTACCAGGTATTGAAGCTTGGTTTATGTCTTAACCCCACCAGGTCCACCACCTAGTAGTTCCCTGCCATGCCATCTCTGGGACCTGGTGTAGTAGCAGCCATGCTTCAAATACACTTACCAAGTCAGGCCCTGCAGAAAAGTAGAAAGATGCAATTCAACCCTATTAATGAGTGGTCTAGATGTTAGAGGACTCACGGGGCATGAAGGAAACCAAGCTTCAGGGCCATTCTCTGTCTCAGCAAGCTTCAACTCACATTTTTTTCCTTCCAGTACAAGATGAAGAGATATTAGTCAGCCCAGGTGTATTATTAATCATTGCCACAGCCAAAAAAAGGATCCAGAGATCCTACGATCTGGTTAAGCATTAGACGGCTTGTTACTCCACTACTTTCTTAAAAATGTTGTGAGGCAAAATGACGGCCTGTCAGTGGAGACAGCGGGGTTGATTAAGATCTTTTTTTTAGCTACATCAATAACCAGGAGGAGCTGTGACCGACAAGAAAGGAGTTTAGTTCGAAAAGGAAAAAGGCCTGGAGTACAGAGGCGGGTGTAGGAAATGACAGCACAGCTCTTTGCAGATGAGATCACCCAGAAGAGAAGAGAATCAAGGATGGGCAACCTTCTATAAAATTTTTATGGGCGAGAGGTTGAGAAGATTGTATCATAGGAGCAGGAAGAGAAGTAGGAGGAGACCTGCAGTGGGGCAGAGTCAAGGAAGCCAAGGGACAATAAAAAACTTCAAGAAAAAAGACCATAGTCAACTGGGTGAAGGCAATGTGAATTCACCAGTACTTGCAGGAAAATGAAAGAGATTTTTTTCAGAAAAACTGCTTAAAAGAATTGTAGAAAGCTAAAATGAGAGATGGTAATTTGTGAGTAGGATGTTAAGCTGGCGCCTGGAGAAATAATTATGAAATTTTATTCAGAATCCTCTATAGTTTCAGAATTGATCTAATCCTATCCCAAGAAAATCTTGATAAATTGCAGCCACATATGGTGTTTCTTCTGCCTCTGATGCAGTATTGCCAGCTCTTGTGATTTTTGGCATTGTTCTTAAAGTCTGCACTTCAGGAATGTGAAAAACGTAGCTCTTTCTTTACGTTTTTCGCATTCCCAAAGCATAGACTTTAAGTACAACACCAAAATGAATGAGAGTTGGCAACACTGCTGTAGCTTCATGAGTAGGAACAGCACTTATAGCTGGAGATGGGGAAAGGAGCCATACATAGGCTGTTGATGGGGGACAAGGTGCTTGGGACTTGGCTGAGGAATCAAGCAAAGAGCTAGCAGTGTGTTTACTATCACCAGAAAGGTGCAATGCCAGAGACAGAGACATTATAGGTAATTTGGGAACCTCAATTATTGGAGACATTGTCTCTTGCAAGTGATCAGTAGCAATATAAAATAACCACAGACACAGGGAAAGCTCTCACAGAGATGTGCCAAGCTGGTTCAAGATACGTGTATATAGTGGCAATGGGCCATTCTCTTATGGCAAAGGGCTCTGTCTAAAATCCTGAACTAGAGCAAATTAAAAGCAGTCTAATCCTAGCTGTAGTCAAGTAAATAGGGATTTTACTGGATTTTTTCTTTAGGCTACCATTTGGCCCAACTTTAGTCAGAGGTACTTTTTGAGATCTTGAGGCCAGTATGTTACAGAAGGTGTGCCAGACTTGACTCCAGAGCTCTCCATCATTTTCCTTGTGGCAAATTTAGACCCATAAAACTATTTTTAAACAGTTAATTTGTTTTCTGAAAGGACAATTTACAAAGCAAATGAATAGAACAAACCCTGGCCCATTGGCCTATGTTAAGATCATAGGAAAGTAGGACTGGAATGGACCTCACTAGGTCATCTAGTCCAGCCCCCTGCTCACGATAGGATCATGCCTGACTTCGCCATCCCAGCCACGTGTCTGTCCAACCTGCTCTTGAAAATTTCCAGGGATGGGGTGTCCACCCAATGCAGTAGTATTTCTCTTTCCCTCTGTTTGTTCAGCACAGCCTAAACCAGGGGTGGGCAAAGTCCAGCCCACAGGCTGAACCAAGCCTGCAGCAGATGCCATTTCCCAGTAGTCTCTGCCCACATCACTGCAGCTGGTTTCCGTGGAGACTCCAGGAGCAGCAGAGCTGGGACAGCGTGGGGCCAGGGTTTCCGTGGAGACCAACCCCAGCAGTGCCGGCTGGGCATGCGGCAGGGCTGGGATCTTGCGATAGCGAGAGCGTGGTCCAGAGCTGGGGCAGAGCTGCAATCTGCTGCCCACATGCCCCAGGCAGGGGTGTGCAGTCAGCGGATCGCAGCTCTGCCCTGGCTCTGGACCGTGCTGTCACCACTGCAAGATCCCAGCACCAACCCTGGAGCAGCTTCCTGCCCAGCCACACGCCTGGCCAGCACTGCTGGGGCAGGTCTCCATAAAAACCCTGGCCCCACGCTGTCATGGCTCTGCTGCTCCTGGCATGTCCATGGAAACCAGCCACAGCGACATGGGCAGGGGGTGCTGAAAAATGGAGTCTGGCTGCTGGCCAGATCCACCATTTTGCCCCCTTCCCCCGCCGGGCTAAACTGATGGTTGCAAAAAATGTTTATACCTAAAGAAACCTGAAAAATCAAGTCTTCAGACAAGAACAATTAACCAAAGCTGATTGGCAACAAGGTTGAAATCCTACTTAACTTTTGATGACCATTGCATAGTGCAAGTGGATGTAAGTCTGTGGCTGGACCTTCTGAAAAGAAATAATGAGGCACCACTTCCAGCTTACCTTACTGCATTTATGATGATTTTAAGCAGGCTCCTTTCTGTCTGGTATGTAACTGTATGAATTGTCTATCCTTGATTTATTAGAGACATTCTCCATATGGACTTTGATAGGCGTCTCCTCCTGATTTACTCTGGTTTTGCCTCAGTGGTTTCCTTGATCTTTGAAGGGCAACTCCTCTGAAACTTTGTTTTTCTTGGTTGTTAATCAATTTTTGATACGTTCCAACTTAGTAGAAATGGATAACCTCCTATTAGTGTGGAAGGTAATTCAATCAAAATTGGGACTTAACCAATAATGAACAGTTTGATTAACAGGATTTTCCTGTTCATTACTGCTTGGGGTTCTCTCTTGATTTACACAACTACAGGAATGCTTTTGAAGATGCTGAGCTAGAGGATGTGAAAGAGGAACGAAACAGCTAACAGGAGAAATCATTCTGACAAGAACAGCTGCTGTGCCCCACTGATCGTCTGGTGAATAGATCCACACCTTGATAAGCTGGCAAGGTTGAGACCACCTCTTTGCCTGTAATTAGTGAGAAACTATCACTTTTACAGCTAAATGTACTGGACTTTGCTTTGCTTTAGGCTGATTTAACAGTGAATACCTGTAGTAAATAATGCCTTTCTGTCATCCATCAAATGAGTTGTCCTTCCAATCCTTTATACGCTAGTCCTAAATCCCATTTCACTTAACAAGTATGAGATAAACCCATTGATTTCAAACAGGAACTTATAGTGTCAAAATATTATGGCCTGTTGTAGTCTGAGTTTTGTGCAAAAGAAGAAATGCTCTATTTTTTTACTGCAGTTGAAAAGGAGTGAAAGCAAAGAGCTGGCATTTTCTGAGGGGTTCCTTGGGTCTAAAAAGGTTGAGAACTAATGTGCTAAAAAAACCCAAATATTGTGTAGGGGGAGGAGGACAAACGTAAGTGAATCACTGCTTCTGGTACCACAAAAACCTCTACATGTGCTGTTACATATTTGATGTGCTATGCTACGAGGAACATGAATACATCGGGCTTTGGGCAATACCACTAAGGATTCCCTTAGATTTTACCTGAGTAGAGGATATTGCTGGACAGTCTCAGTCAACATCTTGGATGTGGATTCGTGCTCTACCCTCTCTAACTCCTAATGAGGCTGAGTCAGGGATGGTCAAGATTTCATATAGTACAAGGGACTTGAAGGACGGCAGCCAGAGTTTTTTGTCTGTGCAATGCAAGTAGGACCACGTATTGTTACATTGTCATTGATGTATGTAGCTGTAATTACTCAATGCAACTGGATTCATTAATCTTTTAACC